ACAGTCCGGGAACAGAGAACAAGGCAGCAGGTTATGTGGTGAAGACCGCAGCAGGAAAACGATCTCTATAAAGGTGCACAAGTAGCTTTTCCAAACAGTTTTCAGAGGAACACAACGTAAACTAGGCTTAGGTCTTGTTCTTTTTTCTTTTTTTTTTTTTGAGGGGGCGCACCCGACATTGGTTGGGAGCTGCTCCCCACGGGGTTTGGGGGTTTGGAGGGCCACGCAGTGCCAGAGAGAACCCAGGGCTCCTGCATGCAAAACATCTCCCGCCCCCCCCCCCCCCCCCATTTTGTCCTTTATGCAAGGTGGAGAGTCCCGTTGTTTTCCTAAGCCTGTTTGCAGCGAGTGGTGGGGATGGGACTTCTCCAAGTTTGACCAGTCACATTTTTCACTTTGAATCAGTCTGCAAGTTAAGTTTCTGGAAAGATTAAAGGCTGAACCTTCCTCCTGAATGGTCAGGCAAGCTAATTCCAGGCATCACTGACTAATAAGACAGACTTCCATTCCTTGAGCTAGCTGTGCTAAATATAGCCTTCCCTCCTGGCAGCTGCAAACACCTGGGAGGCAGGCAGGCCCACCCCGGCGGAGGGCATTGTCGGCTGGCTGTGTGTCTGTCCAGCAGTCGTAGGCTGCTCGATTCATGTTGTTTACGTCGGTTCCGTATGAGACACCGAATCCGTTGGCTTACGGAGGGATGTTTAGAAAAACGCAATTTGTGTTGTCTGCCGAGGGGACTGAGGGTGATGTCACTAGTTGAGTAGGACCATAAGCAAAGCAGTTAATGTCATTACCAGCCATCTCTTTGATCTCTGTAATGAGCACACAGCTTACTTAAATTAGTGAGTGGCCTTGGATTTCTAGCATTGATGAGCCAAGCTGTCAGTCTGGGATTCTGCTCCCCTGGAGAGTCTGGTTTGGGTGCTTGCAGTGGTTCCTTATGACATAAGGGGTTTATGAGTAATTAAGGGGAATGCCAACATTTACAAAATGGTGCTCCAGGAAAAACTACAAATGGCTCTCGAACATGTAAAAGATACAACTTCCCGGGGCTGGAGTGATAGCACAGCGGACACGGTGTTTGCCTTGCACATGGCCGACCTGGGTTCGAATCCCAGCATCCCATATGGTCCCCTGCGCACCGCCAGGAATAACTCCTGAGTGCAGAGCCAGGAGTAACCCCTGAGCATCACCGGGTGTGACCCAAAAAAGCAAAAAAAAGGATACACCTTCCCTTGTAATAAGAGGAAATCATATTAATGCCTCACTGAGATATTTCTTTATATCGGACTTGATGATCTCATCGGCCACCCTCCAAAACTCACGGCTGCTTCTCCCAAAAGGGAGCATAAAATGAGGCCCCCATAACCATGCCACTGGACTCTGTGCCAGGCTGTTTTCACTCGGGGCGCCCCAGAGGGGTGGGTGAGAGCCCTCCCCGCTCCAAGGGACCCAGTCCCGGCAGCTGACCTCCACTACCCAACTGCCACCAGGCTCCAGGCCGCTTTCCACACTCTCAGGTCAAGCCTCACATATGAGTGAACATATTCCTGGACACATCATAAGACTCCCATTTTCCATAATTTCCACACCATATTTGATGGGGTTCAGACAGTAAGGCAACAAATCAAAGAAATCATCAGATCATCTCTCAGAGAGCCTGGCAAGCTACCCAGAGTATCCCACCCTTACAGCAGAGCCTGGCAAGATACCCGTGGTGTATCCGATATGCCAAAAACAGTAGCAATAACAGGTCTCATTCCCCTGACCCTGAAAGAGCCTCCATCTTTCAGGGTAAGACGAGTAAGGAGAGGGTGTTAAAATCTCAGGGCTGGGACAAATGGAGACGTTACTGGCGCCCACTCAAGTAAATCAATGAACATCAGGATGACAGTGATCAGACTTTAAAAATCACAAACGAGGAGGGGGGAGGGAAGGAGGGAGGGAGGGAGAGAGAGAGAGAGAGAGAGAGAGAGAGAGAGAGAGAGAAAGAAAGAAAGAAAACAGTGAATAAGTACAGCCCTACGTGCTTTCCTACTCCTCTGGTCCCGCTTATACATTATTGATTTGGTTTTTGGGTGCTACCCAGCAGTGCTCAGGGACCACTCCCAGATCTACTGGGAGAATCGTACGGTGCTGGGGATGCAGGTCATGTGCTTTGAGCTCTTTGACTTGTCACCTTAGCCCAGTACTTTTAATGTGTTTTCCTTCCACTTTCTGTTTTTTCAGAGTATGGGACCAAAACTAAGTCTTATATTCTTAATTTTGATGGAGCATTCAGTTAAGAGATCAAAAAGAGGTAGTACGTGCATTTGTTCTCTGGCACCCTGAACACTTCTCAGTGTGGGCGCATCCTCCACCACACACACACACACACACACACACACGTACTACCTTTTTTTTTTAAAAAAAATTTTATTAGTGAAACACCATGAGGTACAGTTGTAGACTTATAAATTTTTGTGCATAGGTTTCAGTTATACAATGATCAAGTACCCATCCCTCCACCAGTGCCCATCCTCCACCACCACCGATCCCAGTATCCCTCCAGGCCCCCCACCCCAACCCATCCTGCCTCTGTGGCAGGGCGTTCCCTTTTGTTCTCTCTCTCCTTTCAGGAAGTACCACCTTTTGGAGTCAGGGAGATGGCTTGGGGTGCATTCCTCGTGCTCAAGGGCCTGGGTTCCATCACCGGCCCTGCGTGGTCTGAGCAATGTCAGCTATAACCTTGAGGCCTCGCAGGCAATACAGGATGTGGCCCTGGTGGCCCCAGTACCGCTGACAGGCCTTTATTTTTCATTTCCTAAAAGCTCTATGTGATTTTCATTGCTGTTAATGTCGTTTCTTGTGCACATGATTCCAGTACCATCCCATCCCTGGGTACTGCCTCTCCCCCACCAACCCAGTTGTGTGGAGTCATTCTCCTGTCATGTGCCTACCTCACTGTGTGTTTCTAAGTCCCACATGTGGGAGAGACGGCTCTGGCTACCCCTTTCCCTCTCCCTGACTTCACTCAGCATGTCCCTCTGGTCCCATCCGTGTTGTTCCCAAAGTGCCTGCTTTGGTTTTTTCTTAGAGCTGCATAGTATTCTATTGTGTATATAGACCACGCTTTTGGGGGGAGTGGGAGGCCATACCCGGTGATTTTCAGGGGTCACTTTTGACTCTGCACTCAATCACTCCTGGCTGTGCTTGGGGAACTCTATTGGGATGCTGGGGATTGAACCCAGGTCGGCCACATGCAAGGCAAGTGCCCTACCTGCCGTACTATCTCTCTGGCCCCTATACTATAACTTTTTTCTTTTTTGTCAAAAAAATTATTTTTTTCTTTTAATGTCAAAACCAATCCCATCACCATTACACCTTACCCACCACTATTATTTCAGAATTTCCCAACCACCACCCAACCCTTCCCCCGTCTTTTTTAAATAGACTTTTTTATTGAGTAACTGTGAGATAGATACTTAAAAAACTGTTCATGATTAGGTTTCAGCCATACAGTGTTTCAACACCCATCCCTTCACCAGTATAACACAACTTCTTGATTCATTCATTCATAGTTAGGCATCTGGGTTGTTTCCATATCTTGACCGTTGTAGAGACCCTTTCTTAAAAATAAATGAAACAGCAAGAGCCATAAGGTATCTTCGTGATAGACTTAAAATATCTTCCTTTCACTGAAAGGGGAATAAAGAAAGCAAAGCCCACAGTAAGCACTGCCTATTGTGTAAATCGGGGGAGATGAGGGTGCCAGAGCCATCACACAGTGGGGAAGTTACTTTCCTCGTATGCAGCCAACCCGGGTTCAATTCCCAGCACCCTATACGGTCTTCTGAGCCTTCCTGGAATGATTCCTGAGCACAGAGTCTCCTCGGAGTTGCCCTGAGCATAACTAGGTGTGGCCCCAAAAAACAAGTCAAAAAGTGGAAAGTATAAGTATTTGCTTATTTGTGGCAGGGGTAGTTCTGGAAGGCTGTTTAAGAAGGTAAAACCAGGGGCTGGGGCGACAGTTCCCAGGGGTTTGGGTGCAGTGCCTGGGATGCACGGGGATGCACGAGACTCCCCGATTCTGTCCCTGGTGCCTTATGCACTAACCAGAGTTCTGCCGTGAGGCCTGGAGCCGCAGGCCTACCTGAGCACATTGCTGGGCCCTGCAGAGCACTGAACTGTGCAGCCCACACAGCAGGGCCAAGTGTTGCCAGGACCAGCCCCAGGCCGCCTGACACTGCTTGGGAACCCCAGTCCAAGAAAATAACTAATATGACATGGAAGTTCAGAAACGAAGAGCTGGGAGCTTTTCACTGTATTAAGGGGGCTGCCGCAAATCAGACGAGGGCCTTGCCCCTCAGGCTCCTGCTCTGCTGTGAGCTGCAGCCCGGCCCCTGACTGCTCAGGCACTTTCTGCACCCTAAGGAGATGTCGCTTCTTCAGAACTTAGTCTTTTAAAATGAAGTTTTTGGGAATTCTCATCATAGTTATGGAGGCACTCTCCTGTATATGTTTTGGGGGCTACCAAGCACCACGCGGGAAGCCCCAGGACCACTTGGGGAGCGTCTCAGCGTGGCCGGGCCTGTGGATGGGGCCCTTCTCCGGCCTTGCAATGCCGGGGAGTACTTGGGCCACCCCAGTGGCTGCTGGGAGCAGGGGATGACGCCTGGCAGTGCACAGGGCTTGGCATGGCACTAGGAATTGACCTCCCCGCACCTTGACTCTTGTGCTAGTTTTCGGGCCCAGAGCGCCTCCCCCTCTGACCTCCACTCCTGGAGCTTCTGCCCTTGCTGCCCAGGGGGATTGCTTCATGCTGCTGCTGCGGGGACCAGTGTTCCTCACTGTCTGTGGCTGTCCTGGGAAGAAAGTGGTGCCCAGGGTTCCCAGTCCTGGCGCCTCACTCCTGAAGGGTCCCGTGAGGGTCTGCGTGTGGTGGGCCTTATGCTCTGTTGTAAGGCGATAAATGTTTTGGACAGGACTGACGTTTCTGTGCAATTTCTCTTTATCTGTAGGAACCTCCAAGCAGCTATTGGCGCCTATTATGACTTCGAGAGCCCCAACATCAGCGTGCCCTCCATGTCCTTTGTCGAAGACGTCACCATCGGAGAAGGGGAGTCGATCCCTCCTGACACTCAGTTCATAAAAACATGGCGGATCCAGAATTCTGGTACATATGCATTTGCCATTCTCTCTCTCCTTCCTCCCTCCCCTCCCCTGCCCTCTCCTGTTTTGTTTCTGTTTGGGGGCAGAACACCTGGCAGTGTTCAGGGGTCACTCCTGAGGGTACTCATGGGACCATATGTGATGCCACGGGTAAAACCCAGGTTGGCCACATGCAAGGCTAGTGCCTTACCCACTGTACTATCACTCTGGCCAAGATATGTTTTTCTCAGTAGTTAAAAGAAGAAGAAATGTTTCAGCTTGAGTTACATGATTGTGCAATTCTGAGCTTTTGGTTGGACATAATATAGCATTTTCCTGATAATGGTTTGATGAACAATTACTAGTGAACCACCACCAGCCCTCACTTAGGGAGAATTGATAGTATCTAAACACGATCCATCCTTTCTGTTCTAACTGGACTAGGCCTGTCTGGTGGTTAGGCGTGTCTTCCCTTGTGTAGTTCTACTCCATCATTCTAATTCCGCTCTAATTAATCTTCCAGTCGTTTTCTTGGGAGGCCAGATGCGGTGCATTCCTGAGTAGCACAGGGGGCTGAGGAAGCCCATGAGCACTGTCTCTTTCAAAAGCTCACACGGTTTGCAATTGCAAGGATGATTTTTTCTGTGGTACTTGAAATAAAGTAGCTTTATCTAATAATACCACTTTGAGAAATAGCACTGTAGCACTGTCCTCCAGTTTTTCATAGATTTGCTCCAGCGGGCAACAGTAACGTCTCACAACAAATTGTGAGACTTGTTACTGTTTTTTTGGCACATTGATACCTCCAGGGAGCTTGCCAGGCTTTGCCCTGTGGGCAAGATTCTCTCAGTAGCTTGCCGGGCTCTCCAAGAGGGGTGGAGAAATCGAACCTGGGTCGACCGTGTGCAAGGCAAACGCCTTACCCGCTGTGCTATTGCTTCAGCCCACTTTGAGAAATAGCAAAAGTAATGTGGGGATTTTCTCAGAATTGGAGAGAAAGGTGTTTGGTTTTTTAAAATTGCGCGGCCAACCTGGGTTTGATTCCTCCACCCCTCTCTGAGAGCCCGGCAAGCTACCGAGACTATCCCTCCCACATGGCAAAGCCTGGCAAGCTCCCCGTGACGTATTCGATATGCCAAAAACAGTAACAACAAGTCTCACAATGGAGATGTTACTGGTGCCCGCTCGTGAAAATTGATGAACAATGGAAGGACAGAGCAGTGCAGTGCTTGGTTTAAAGCATTGTTTCGATGTACTGCTGACTTTTAAAAAAAATAGAAAATGAGTTAGCCACATTTGAAAACAGTATTGGAATAAATCTGGTAACCGTTTTACTTCCTTTCACTTGTAAAATTCTGTTCTACAGACTTTTTCTTGAACGGGTTTGGTATTTTTTGTTGCGCTAGTAATAATTTATGCTGATCAGGTGAGGATGCTTTAATTTCCTTGCCGATGAGAATTCGTAGAGAAATTCTGAGTGATGGAAAACTAAGTGAAAGGATATTTGTGGGTACTGCTGTAAAGTAGCTAGAGTGAAGGATCACATTCCCAAGGAGCTGGGTCTCGCGAACATGACTTAGAGAAACCGTCCTGGTGGTCATCACTGCCGTATCTTCCTGCTTTTGCTCAGTGACCCCCAAACCAAAAATTTGTGGGTGTACCTCTCTAGAAAGGTGACCTCTTCTGAGACGATACAGAGCCCTGGGGCTTCAGTGTTTCACACTGTTTCTTTACCTTCCTTTATGCTTCAATTGTTCCATGGTGGAGAACTGGCTTGCTCTGCTTGCCTTGTGTATAATAAGGTAGCAAACTGTTTCTTTAGAGCTGTCCATTGGCTGGAGGAGAGCTTGTGTGTCACTGAGCAGGGGCACTTGACTAGAAAGGACCAATGCCAGAGATCATCGGAACTCCGTGACTCTGTCAATGATCAGTAGCTGATTTTCCCATTGGTTAGGTAGAGGGAAGTAGGGGTAAAGAGCCATGGTTTTATTCTTGAAGTCCTTAATTTGTGGTTGGGGGGGGGGGCAGGTCTTGCTATCAGGTAGTGCCCAGGGGCCCTGGGGGACCTCCAGGCGCTTCATGGCCATCTAGGCCAGTGGGTCAGCATGAGGGCCTGAGGACGTGGTGCTGCTCGGGTGGTTACTCTGCAGGGCCGGGGATTGAGCAGGCCAGCCCTAGGGATGGGGGCCTTGAGGACTGCACCCACAGAACTCAGGTCCCTGTGGCACTGGGGCTCAAACCAGGCTCACGTCCTGCGACAGGCACCCATACTGTTTCTCTGGCCCCTTTTTATTTTGGTTTTTGAGGCTACACCCAGCAGTGCTCAGGGGCCATCTGTGGTGCACGGCATTCAAATCAGGGTCACGGTCAGTGCAGCCATAGGCAAGGCCAGCATCTTCCCTCTAATACCAGAAGTTTTAATTTTAAAAAATTGGTTCAAGATTTTGTTTATTGTTAGTAAAAACACTGGAAATGGTCTGACTTTTCCATGAGTTCTTTGTAGTATTTTTAAATTTTCAAAGCTGCAGTGCCAGAGTCATAGTACAGTGGGGAGGGCGTTTGCCTCGAAGGCAGCCAACCCAAGTTCAGTCCTGGCGTCCCATAGGGTCCCAGAACACCACCAGGACTAATTCCTGAGTGCAGAGCCAGGAATAACCCCTGAGCATTGCCGGGTGTGACCCAAAAAAACCAAAAATACTCCTCTCCCCATCCCCCCTCCGAATAAAAGTGGCTAGTGGGTCTGGGAAGGTTGCGTGAAGGACTGGAGCACCTACTACGCATACGAATCAGGATTCAATCCCCAGCATCTCGTCACCTGAGCACTGAACTGGGAACAGCCATTTTCCTATGGACACTGCCAGTTGTGACCCAAACACTTTAAAAAAAGAGAGGCAGAGAGAAGCAGAAAGGTCTGAGAGTACTGCTGAAATATTTTAAATACTGTCTTGTTGCTGAACAGCTTCTATATTCAGAACACCTCTGGATTTATCTACTCACGTGCTAGTTCTTCCTTGGATAATGGGACTTTGGTGAGATTGTTGCCGGGGGCTCTGCGGTGTCAGGTGGGGCCTTTCTCGATGACATGGAGAAATTCTGTGTTGGTAGGGGCAGCTGCTTTCTCCTCCAGCTTTAGCTTAGTAACTGCAGTCATAAGCATCTTCCGGACGCTGGAGGACATCGTTCTTAACTCCCGAACACCTCTGCAAAAGTTGGACAGTGCCTGCTAGAGATTTTGTTGTTTAAGGTACTTGGAACAATATGCTCCCTTTGGGGCATGGGAGAGTGCAGAGAGGAGTTGTCCCAGACAGTGCTCAGGTAGCCTGGGGACCTCTTCTGGCAGTATTTGGTCAGCCGTGCTTGGTCCTCAAGGGTGCGAACCCAGGTCAGGATATACACAGCATGTGAGCTAACTGCTGAGCTACTCTGCAGTCCCTCCTCGTTCAGGAGATCAGCCAGCCGGTAAGAGAGTTCTGTTCCTATAGACTGTGTTCTTTTGAATGAGGAGAAACTCGCCCATAATGCACTGGGTTGTTGTTACCTGAGACTGGAGAACAGGCCTGTGCTCTGATTCTTCCTCATTGTTCTGATCTTGGTGAAATTCTTTCAGGAAAAAGCTTTAGGAATGGCAGGCATTTGAGTCTCCAACAGGTACCATGGATGAGAACTTCATATAGCTGACCCAAACCGCTTCCCCAAGGGAGGCCGATGCCACACATTATTTAAACATTAGGGGTTTGAAAGGGATTAAAATACTTGCCTTGCACACAGCAGACTCCAGTTTGATGATCCCGGCCACTGCATGGTCCCCCAAGCATGCCTAGGACCCCAGGACACCAAGCTGGGCATACCTTCTGAGCACTGGTAGGTGTGGCCTCAAAACCTAAATCAATAATAAACAGGAAATAAGTAAAATCAAATTAATAATGGACTGGGAAGGGGTCGCTCAGCAGGCTCCTGGAGCTCTGAGTTTGGTCCCCATACCCCAGGGGCCCCAGTAGCAACAGTATCCGCCCTGGAATACCTCTGGGTGTAGCCTCTAAAGCATAAAATCACTTAATCACTTAACTTCCCGTTAGTCGTCGATTTGCTCGAGCGGGCGCCAGTAACGTCTCCATTTGTCCCTGTCGCGTGCTAGTGTAGCCCAATGGCATCTCTTCGCTCCGGGAACATGGAGGGCCTCAAACCGATCGTTCATGATCTTGACAAAGAAGTCTGACCATCTGGTAGGTGGGCGGCCACGCGGTCTCTTGACATCCCCTGGAATCCAATCAGTAACAGCTCTAGTCCAACGGTCGTCTTTAAATCTCATTACGTGACCAGCCCATCTGATTTTCGACACCTTGGCAAATGAGACAGCGTCCCTGATCCTTGATCGTCGACGGATGTCAGAACTCCGGATTCGTTCTCTCATTTGAGTGAAACGTGATATTCCAAGCATAGCTCTTTCTATTCTTCTTTGGGAGACCTGAATGGCGTTCTCATCTTGTTTGCGTAGGGCCCAGGTCTCTGAGGCATATGTTAATGCAGGAAGAACAGTGGAATCAAAGAGATGTGCCTGGAGCAAGTACGACATCATTGGTCTGACCGAGACAAGAAGGCACGAATCTCACCATGCCGTTTTCGACACTGGAGAAGAATTGTTCCTCGGAACATGCGAAAAAAGAGGTGTTGGAGGCATTGGTGTCCTTGTCAACACAAACTTGGCCAAGAGCATTGATTCATTCGAATGCCTAACAACCCGAATCGGACGTTTACATTTGAATAGATGTGGCTCACTGCCTGTAGTTTCTATCTTCGTTGTCTACGCACCAACATCTCATTATGATGAAAGAGAAATCGAGAAGTTCTACATGGAGCTAGAGAAGTTCTATAAAGAAGACCACACCTTCTACAAGATCATTGTGGGTGATTTTAATGCCAAGATAGGACCGAGAAGATCAGCTGAAGAACTTCACATCGGAACCCATGGCCTAGAATGGAACGAACAGGGTGAGAGACTGTCTGAGTTCATCATGTCGACCAAGA